CAATTGGCATAAGAAATAACAAAGTTAAAAAGTAACGGTCCATATAATATTACATTAGAGAGTCAATTTTTAAGCCTACCTGTTATATTTTGAATTAGCAGCTCATATGGCAGTCCCATTGGAGATGCTCTTAGTTTGTCTTCTTCAATTTTGTAAGATGTCAACCTTTTTTATTTTTTTCCTTCTTCCATTAACCAAAAAAATATATATATATACTCGTGCACTCACTTGTCTGTACGAGAAGTTGAAACTATTTATTTTTTACTTTACAAGTCGAGAAAGTAATATTAAATAGCTGCCTTTGGAGAAAATGGTAATCATTTTAAAACAATATTATTTGCTTAGAATATCTAAAACATTTTGTATTTTTTTTTTTTTTTTTTGTCAACCAATTGGAATTTTCTACTGTTCTATATTTTCATTTCTTTAAGAACATGAGAATGTTAAAGCAGTGTAATAATAGTGTAATAATAATCTTAGAGAGGCCAAAAAAAAAAACAATACTAATCTGGTGCACAAAACTCTCGCCATTACGAGATCTAAAAATAGTGTTCATGTCATTCTCCATCCCCCTTTTTCATACATGTTCGGTCGATATAACAATCTCACATCTCTTCTCAAAATTGTTTAGCAGAAGGCTATCCCATCCTCCTTTAAATCCTCCGGTCCTTCTGCACCATAAATTTCAACTTCATCAAAACTTAAACACTCACAATGTCTATTTATATAGCAAATTAAATATATTAATGTTATTTTCCATACGCAAACAAATATTCATACCTAAAATTTACACTTCATAGTTCATAAATATCACATAAGTAAATACATAGCAAATTTGGAATATATATATATACACATACATACACACACATACCAATTGAGCAAATAAAACATTTGTAGTCCATGAAATATTTCATCGAACAAAAATAAGGTAATGATAGAATTAGATTTAACTTAGTTAAAAATATTAAATGTGGGTGTTCTTCAAATCATCTAAAAGAGTCCCAAGTAACTCAGTGGGTACGGAGGGATTGTTGGTTACTAAAAATAATAATAAATAAATATATTTAATAAAATACAAGGATATAATATTAAATTGGATAATTTAAGATTTATTGTTTTGACCTCCCTTAGGCTATGTTTGGTAGGATGGGTTTGAAAGGGGAGGATAACATTAGTTATAAGGGAAAGGGAAGGAAAGGGAAGGGAATGATAAGTTTAATCCTCAATCGTGTTTGGTTGATTAATGAAGGAAAAGAAAGGGAAGGATAACAATCATGTTTGGGAAAAGAAAGGAAAGGGAAGGATAATAAAAAAATTACTATTATGCCCTTTATATATTTTAACAGATAAATTTTTAGATTTAAATATGCAACAATATTTTTACCCCAAGATTCGGTTTTAAGGCTCAGTTTGGTAGCAAATGCCACATTTATCTTCTCTTTCCAAATCAATATTTCAAAACTCAACAGCACTTAACTAATTTATGCAGTGGTATTGAGGCTAAGCAGCCCAACTCTGCCATGAGAAAATCTGCTCGTGTGCAGCTGATTAAGAATGGGAAGAAGATCGCTGCATTTGTACCCAATGATGGTTGCTTAAACTATATTGAGAAGAATGTAAAAGTCTTCGACAAAACTAGTGTAGATCTTCTTTAATTGCTTGCTTTGTGTCGTAGGACACAAAACAAGCTAAAACTTATAAAAGGAGCCGACTCAAGTAAAAGTGGAGGAGGCTCCAATATGAATGGAGCAGGCTCTACTTTAAGTAGAGGAGGCTCCAATATGAGTAGAGCAGGCTCCCAAAATGGGAGGCGGCTCCTTTCAAGAAAAATTGTTCTGGGAACCAATTTTATGTCATGTTAGATGGCAGAAGTAAAATAAAGAAAAAGAAATGCAATTTACCCAAAAATAAAAAATAAATAAATAAAATGTAACTCACTTTTATTCCTAAAATGAAGTTGAAATAATATTCATACTCAAGAGCACAAATGAATTTCCTATTAAAAGTTTGATTTCCTTCAACAAAAAAGATGATAAAATCAACAAAACAATAATAAAGTCAATGAAATAATCATATTGGTAAGTACTGAAACAATCAACAGATCGCATAGAAAACCCAATTACTAGATCTTCCTTCAAGCAAGTAACAACAGAGAAAGTAAAAAAATAATCATTAATTTAATCTTTAAATTTGGCTTCTTACTTTTTTGGGTGAGAGGGGTTTGATCACAAATGTAATCAATGATGATCAACAACATAAAACAGTAAGTTAGGTTCTTTCTGACTTTATTTAAAAAAAAAAAAAACTTAACAACCCAAGGCATGAAGTGGATCGAACATACAGATCCACCAATTTCTTGCAAATAATGACCCCAAATTAGGAAGTGCCGAGATATAATGGGAATAGGACACTTGAAGGGAGCCGGCTCAACCATGATCATGGAGCCGGCTCTTATGGGTTTTTGAGAGGTGCCGAGTGGAGCCGGCTCTTCCTTTTTGTAGAGCCGGCTCCACATTTTTTTTGGAGCCGCCTCAAGTAATTGCTGGAGCCGGCTCTCTTGGGCATTTGAGAAATCCCGAGAGTTGGTGTATGCAGGCCAATAATACAGGCCCTAATATGAAGAGCAAATTTGAGGGTAAAATTGGCTTAACAAATATTTTGTATGCCATTGCTTTCCCTTTCCTTCCTTATCCTCCCAATTTTGGAAGGTTAAAAAATTACTGTACGTTGCTTATAAATAACCCTCCAAACCCCTCCCTCTCCTTCCCTTTCCCTCCACTAACTTTACCCAAACACAATTTTTTTATTACCCTCCATCCCCTTCCCTTCCCTTTCCCTTCAAACCCATCCAACCAAACTGACCCTTAAGGTTTGGGTGCATGCTCAACAACCCCCGTCTCCATCAAAACTTGTAAAAAAAATTCATAAAATGACCAAGTTGCCCTTACACTTATTTTTTCTTTTTAATTTTTTTTTTTTATTTACAAGATTTTTTTTAGGAGAGGGTACAGGTGGTGGAGAGGAGATAAAAAGTAATAAGAGAGATGAGTTAAAATAATTAATTTTTTTAGATTTTATAATATATTTTTGTTATAAAAATATATTACATATAATAGTATAATTGACTTTTTATAGTCTTAAGGGATGTCAGAATAATAAATCTCAAACGTTCCACCCTTGTGAGAATTGTCCAAACTTCAGGAGAGGTAAGTGTAATTTACTCTATTAAATTTACAACATAAACATAAAAGAACCAGTAGATATAATAGTATGTATATGATGTATGTACATATATGTATATTATAGTTCGCCGTATCGATCGATACGCGATCCTTTTTTAAAGATCTCATATCGGTCAATTTAACCAGTTTACATTAATTTTGTTCAATCTATTACACTGCGACTAGGGGTGGCAATTCGTGTTTGTGGGTCGTGTCGATATAGTGGTATTATACTAAATAGGTAAATCCAAACCCAACTTATTTAATAATCGTGTCAATAATTTTCAACACTAACCCAATCCGTTTATTAAATAGGTAAACGTATTAACCTGTTTAATGACTTGTTTATCAAAACGAGACATTTAATATTTAATAAAATACTAAATAATAGAAGGAAAAAAAAAATTGTCATAATTAATCTAAATATTCAAAAAAAAAAAAAACATAAGACATAGACAAAGTTTATGTTAAAATGACTTAACTATCCATAGTAAATAAGTTTAAACCGGTAACATATTACACATGTCATATTCACTATTATAACATGTTGAGTTAAATGGATCATAAACGGGTTACACGGGTTGAACCTCTTCAACCCTAACTCGACACAGTTAAGTAAACGGGTTAATCGTGTCGACTTTTTTATGATCCAAACTCGTTTATATTAAACCTAAACCCTTTTAACTCGTGTCGTGTCGTGTCGTGTCGTAATTTGTCACTCCTATCAGCAACCAGTAAGAGCAAAGGCGAGATAAGTCATGTAATAATAATAAAAAAAGAGAGATTTACCAACGTAAAAATAACACTCAACGAACAAAATTGTGTGACTTTGTATATGACGTGATTCTATCAAATGTATCACTCCCAACATCTTGAAGTTGGTCCCTTTCAACCTTTGTCAAGGGGATTGTGTGTTTCCTAAGAATTACTCCTTTGGCGTTCCGTAGCAAATTGTATTGATACAGAACGTATAGGTACATGATGCTGAAACAGTAATATCATTGATGGGCATTACTTAAGTTGCTTTACAACAAACAGATTTATATCAAACCATTTGTGGAGTAGAAACTGCATGTGTATCTATGTGTGCACTAGCAACCATGTGCTGCCCGTGAATTAATTGTCCCACGTATATTTTGCTTTGAACCACAAATAGTGCTTGTTTGGTGTTATTGTAATTAAGAGAAAAAAAACATGTAGAAGTGTTAAAAAAAAGTATTGTGCATTAGAAAGCCACTTTTTATATTGATTATTGGAAGTACTTTTCTTTTTAGTTTGGAAACAGTATTGATTAAATCACTTTTCATTTTATATATATATATCTTTATGAAAATTAAAAGGAATGAACTTGTCAATTAAAAAAAAAAAAAAAATTAAAAAAACCTGAAACTTCATACATCTAAGACTAGGCTGAAAGCATAAAAATTGAGCTTTAACTAAAAACTTTACAGAAATAAAGTCAATCTAAGAGTAATATTTTCGTTACCAAACACAAATGAAAGCAAAATTTTAAAAACAGAAGCACTCCAGATGCATCGTGTGTACAAAATAATACAGTATGATCCATCTTCTATAGGCATAAAATACACATTTTTGTTTGTGACTTTTCTTTTCTCCAAGTTTTTATTAGTTGAGAAAAACTAACACCTTGCTCCTGTAAATGGCTAATGTCTGTAATCAAGTCCATTTCCATTTCCACCATAATTGAATAATAGTAGCAGATTTAGAAAAGGTAGATATAAAATATATACTTTTTTTTATTAATTTAGAGGCGGTTACAATAGGAAAAGCTACAAAGAAAAACACTAAACAAGACTCATAAGAGCTCTCTCTTGACATCTCACTCTCTACAAGATGCAATCTCTATTCCTCTTTGTATAATAGACCAAAGAGAGGATTTCAAAATATACTACTCAAAAGTCTGAAACTGTATTTCAAAATGGCAAATTCTTTAGTCAATGCACATTCAAATTGAAAGCACTCTGGATCAATCAACGTTCTTCGTGCTGCAAGTGGCTAAAATCAATTTTTTTTTTTTTTTTTTCTTTTAACTTCCTTGCTGTATGAGAGGAAGATGTACAGGAAGCAGAACAAGGAACAAACACAGAGAAATAGATATAAAACAGTATGACAAAACTCACACAAGGCAAGAGGTGAACACAAGACAATAGCACCTACCACTACAACGAATCTATACAAAACCTAGTGAACCATTGAAAGACTGCAAGAGGGAGATGGTCTTATAAATGATTTGGCAAGGCCAGTGCAGCCTTCTAAGTGCATGGTTTGGAGCATTTGCCGGTACTGCCTGTGAACCTAGTAAGGAATTTGAAATCTCTCAAACTAATCCCTCTTGCTTAGATGGCAAATAGGAGGCCAATTCTTTCAATAAATGATATATATATTTTTAAATAATAATAAACAACACTTGAGCTCCACCAGAACTTGGAAATAAGAGTGTTGATATTGTCACAAGGTGTCAAAGGAGTTTAAAAGCAGACATCACTACAAATATGGAATGGACAGAAACATATCAAGGAGACTAGGCCATAAAATAAAATAAAATCATTGGGGAGATAATTTCTGAAAAAATAAAAAATAAATAAAACCATTGGGGAAACCCAAGATAACGAAGCCATATCTTTAATTTAACTCCTAAAGAAGCTTAGAGTCCAGTAAACTAATCAGAGCATTGATGCTGAAAAGAATATAGGCTTTATAGTGATTAATACTCTGACATACGGTGCACCAAATTCTCCAAGAGCTTTCACTAAAATGGAAACAACTCGGAAGGGATGGCTTGAAGAAAATAATGCAGTCATCCCCAAACAAAGGACATGAAATGGAGGGACTCTGATGGCCACGTTCGATGGGATCGGCTTCCTAGGGACGAAAACAACAAAGATGTGGTCAGAAAGATGTAAATAACCAACACGTACAATTAGTCAATTTGTTCGAAAGGAAAATTAAGTTATTCGAATGTAGTGCAACGATATGTCAATTGAGAATTAGAACTGATTGTTATGTGTGTAATATTGGCATGGTGTCTCACTTATTTTTGTGCATGAATACAAGATGAAAACGTTGTGCCTTAAAACTACCAATCAAGTAGATGTCACCCACATGTGAACACTGTAAAACCAAAGAACTCACAATTGTCAAGGTTCTTGAATTCCATCCTAACCGTTTGGCCACTTAATAATGATACGCAATGTATATAGATTAAAATTCCAAAAGTACAGTAAAAAGAGGATAGAACTATATTTGCAATAGAGCAACATACAAGTTAAATTTGTACTTTGGTCAATATTCACAAAACAAAATTTATAGAGTTAAGCTTACCAATTCACATGCCTTTTAGAAATTTATGAAGCTCTGAACCTATCAAATCATGTAAGCCAGCCTAAGAAGGACCTTTGGAAACTTTTAGATTTGAGCGCGAGCGTTGACCCCTTGTCCTTGCTTCAAGTAACTTTGCCTTCAAAGTGTTCTCCTTTAGGTCCTGAGGCAATTTAGAAGAAGACTCAGATATGTCAAGATCTTGGGATGGGAATCCAGTGGTCCATTGTCTTACTGGACTGGTATGACTCGTCCATGCAGAGTTCCCCGACTCTGCTGACAAAAAATTATTTCTTAGTATATAATTGTCGATGACATAATTTGAGTTCAATCCATGGATTCCATCGAATTTATCTATTCTTTCATAATTGTCCTCTTCTGGAGCTTCACAAATTTCGGACTTCTTGGAAAAGCTTATTTCAACAGAATTCCCTTCCCCGGCTTTCCTTTTTTCTGTATCCACGACTTGGGTTATGCTACCATTACATGACATGGCCCGAGCCATCTGTTCTATAAACTTCACCTGCAAGCTGGTAGGATTTCGCCCTTTTATTCTTTCAATGGATGAAATATTTTTCTTTGTATGATGTGGCTTCACTGTGTCATCAATACAACTTCCCTCAGCTTCATCACCCCGTGGTTTTAAGTCACCAGCACTTCGTTTATTTAGCTCAAAAGAATGTGAATCACTGCCTTCAGAACCTTCTTCATCACACACAGGGGAACTAACAGCCATATTCAAAGGAATGGATTCAAGAGAATTACGGCAAATTCTGGTACCCCTTGGCACAAAACTACAATTACTGTTAGACTTGCCAGTTCTTTTAGCTTGAAGAAAGGTCTCGATTTCAGAGCTTAATTTGTCAACTGTTGAGTATTTTTCTCCAAAGCCATGCTGAGTTTCTAGTTTCATCTGCATCCGTCCATCAAGCCACAATTCAGATATATTGAGAATCAATTGATCACGCTCAATCTTGTCTGCTGAATCCTCGTCATATATGTGTTTCATAGCATGCAACTCTTGTTCAAAATCTCGTATTCCCCAAGCAAACTCATCACAAAGGTATTCCAACTGCTTCCGTGATTGTCTCTCTCTTTCCATCTCTTTCGAAGCATCAGCAAGAGAATTCTTTACCTCATAAAGCTCTCGAGATAACTTTCTGTGCAGTCCCTCGGAGCGTTTCCTTAACTTCTTCTCAGCTTCCAGCTCATCCCTCACAGATTGAATGGCAATGTTGATCTGATCTTGCTCCTTGCTCTTCCTAACTAGTTTACTTCCTGCAATTTGCTTCATCAAGCCATCTATCACATGTCTATCAGCTTGCTGATCTTGAAACAACTCCTTGATCCGGGCATGGGCACCATCTAGCTCCTTTTTCAATGCTCTCACCAATGAATGGTTGGATGCATGTTGTTCTTCCAAGCTCCAGATCCGATTCAATACTTTTAGCAGTTCTGTAGACGTTTTTAGGCCATAACCTGTGTCACCATTCCTTCCCTTGAAGTCCACAAAACTGGTAGGAGTGATAGCAGGGTTATATGTCGCCACCTGAAACAGAAAACAATCAGATCCATTTAAAGAGGAATAGTACCACAAAGGTTCAACAAAAAAGATGGCAAACTAATCGACAAACTCTACGTGATTGTAGGACTGCTCATCAATGAGTGAAAATATTTCAAGTACCGTGACTTGTGTAGCTTCTTACAAATTTGATTTGAATAAGGACAACTACAAACCTGTCATCTCAAATGGGACCAACCTTAATCTGTGTTGTAACATAATTCTTTTGGATGGTTCCATTGATCCATTTAATATCTTTTGGATGTTATGCAGGACTCATCAAAATTACTCCCTAGTTCTATTCAAATTAAAACCAGAGTAACATATGATAAAAGAAGAGCTAGGAAGTAGGACCATTGCAAATTTAATTGGAAATGATCAATGCTTGTCTTCTCTATGCTCCCCGGTTTTTAGTTAAAAAAAGTGTTTGCTAGTTGAGAATGAATGAAATACGATGATGTTACCTCCATAGAACTGCCATAACTAGCAGGAGAGACAGGTTGTATAGCATGATTGCTCCTTTCAATTGATAGATGATGTTGCATTAGTGATGCTGCGACATGCCTCCCCAAACTGCTTGTAGTCTCCTGCTGCTAAGAGAAACCAGACAAGGATTTGGTATGGAAATAAGAGGGACTTCGCAATTAAAATAGCTTCAAAGTTCCAACTTTCATGGATGATGAATTCATTAGTGTTATAAGCCCCATAACTTAGTGAATTTCAACAGACATTATTCAGAAAACCAGTTCAAAAAACATGCCAACTAAACAGTCCCCGCCTCTAACCCCATGTAACTTCTATAGTGCCCGTACCTCAAGTCCATTATAGGTCAATCAGCTCAGAATTTTCTCAAGGGGTATGCCGATACAAGTGATTAAATAGTTACTCGTATTATATATCACTTCAAATCAAAATTGAAAAAAAAAATTAATAAAAAAAATAAAAATCTTAAGACAGTAAAGCAACCTATACACACCGCTATAAATTACAATGAAATTAGGAGAACCATCGAATTATTAAGATAATTGGCATTGATTAAACTGAAAGCACTGCTTAACTTCTTTGGAACCAACAGAAAGCAGATATAAGAGCAAAATCAATTAGAAACAATAAAATAATGGGAACGGCTAAATACAACAATTCCATAACAATAAATAGTAAATATAAAACAACAAACGTTGTATATAAAGAAGAGGGGTCCTGTTGGTGTATAACAGGCATTAAGGTCAAACAAACCACCATGACAACATTGCCATAACCAAATTAAAAAAAATAAATGAACATCAACTAATAACTAAAGCGTAAACATAAAACAGTCTCATCAAGAAGACAAGCTCATCCAATTAGAAGTTCAAGCAAGCCAAAACCAACAAATGCCCAATTGGACAATGATCGAATTAACAACACAATCAATCGATACCCAAATGAATATACACACATTAAGTAGACATCACTATATATTATACAAGGGAGTATAGTTTTACCAGATCAGGGGAACTGGGGGAGGAATCGGGAAAGACGGTGGTGGTGGAGGGGATGTCAAGGCCATTGTCCTTGTAAAGGTGGCGGTGGTGGTGACGGTGGAGGCTGCGCAGCCTAGGAGGTGGAGCAGTAACACCATGGTGCATTTTAGAGATGGGGAGGTGGTGGTAGTAATGAAGCTCCCAGAAAGCGGCAGCAGCGAGCTTTCTAGCAGAGACTAAAGTGGGTGGCAATTTAAGGATGCTATCTTGCGCACCACCACCACTCCATGGGGTCAAAACTGGAGTGGTATGTCCCCCTCTTTTCCCCACCACCAACACTCTCTTCAACTTTTCCCCCAAATTTTCTTGCTTTTCTGCTGGCCTTCCCCCACTTTTTTCTCCCCTTTTCATCTCTCTCTCTCAACACTTTCTCTCTCTAAACTGCAAGGGGATGTACGTTCTCTCTCTCATCCATGTTGTTTGCATTGGGAAAGTGTACTATAATAGACATTCAATTTCTTAGTAAGTACTTTCTTTTCTCTTTTGTTTTGCGTTCTTTCTTGTGTACTCTTCTTGTTCTTGTCCAGCTTCAATGGCGAAAAAGCTTTATGAGATAGTGATTAATCACTCGCCAAGAACCTCAAAACTGTAATTGTGCTCAACTGCTTCGTATATCTAGTCACACCCTACAATGCGGGACGGAAAGTCAACACACACACATATACATTGCATGTATTCTCGTGTAAATTAAGTGCATTTTTTTGATATATTAAGTGCATACCGATTTGAATCAGAATTACTAGCAAATACTGGTAACTAATACTACAAATTATTTTTGTGCAATAAAAGTTGCAGTTGACAAATTCCTTCTTAAATTAATTGCATATATATCCATCCACATAGTGTCTGGTTGGTCCAATTTTTTATAACTGAACTGACGAGTCTGAAACTTGCTTTCTGGTTTTCATTTACTTGACGTGTTACATCTACTTTTTCTTTTATCAGATTCTCGTTCAGTCTTCAGAAAATTTGGTACAGTAGTATGTTACAGAATACAGATTGTACAACTAGGATGTTGGCAATTCTTATGGGCAGCTTATTTAAGAGGCTGATAGGAAAATTAATAATTACTGTATATAACAATCCTTTTTTTTTTTCAAATCTAGTGCTGCAATTGTCTCCTGTATGGTTCAAAAACGAAGAAGTGAAAGGATTAAAATAAATAAATAAATAAAAATTACCATCATTTAAAAAATGGAACGATTTAAAAAGAAAACAGATGACTCCTTTCCATTGCAATCTCGTGGAAACTCCCTTCATGACCATGTCTCATTGGATAATATAAAGAGAAAAGTGCAAAAAAAAAAAATCCCGCAAAATCTGCATCTAACCCCCTCAATTACCAAAAATGCAAGAAACTCTCCAAACTATACAAAAAAGTGCAGATGACTTCATTCGGCCAAGGGGTGAGAATTAGCCGTTAAAATTTGCTAAATTATTTTAAAAGACCATATTACCCTTATAAGCATGAAAAGACATAAATGCCTTTTATTTCTAACCATTAGACCCCAATATCCTAGTCCTAAGCAACAAAGCCAAACATGGCTTTCCCAAAAAAAAAAAGCCAAAACATGGCTTAAACAAATTTCACCAAAAAATCATATTCGACGAAAAAAAAAAAAAAACCCCAAATCACTAACTTTGCAACTGGTAGGGTTTTTTGCTGCCGACAAACCCAGAAACGGCACCGACGAGGTATCCAACGAGGACATAGGACAGAGGACGAACCGACGACGTATCCGGCCAGAAACGGTCGTTGTCTTTTATAGCTTGCTGGGTTGCTAAAGAGGCATTTATATCTATATATACACATACAAACATATTTATTGAAAATAATTTCTTTGAATTCGAATCAAAACCCCAAATAATCGATCTCACGAAGCCAAAGTCGAAAATTTTGGACTTCGAATCGATCTCACAACACTCACACTCTCTCTCTAAAACGAACAACAACGAACTGCTGTTAGGAACAACGAACTGCTATTAGGAACAACGAAGACTCATCTTCCGATGTATGGCTCTGCGGTTACCGATTCGGTTCCGGTGAGAACAAATCCGGCGGAGACAAAAAGACGGCAGTGGGCGGCAGCGAGCGGAGCTTGATGACAGAGGATAGTAGTGATGTGTGGACTCGGCGAGAGGAGCTTGTGGTCCAGAAATTCCTCCAGGAGGCATCCGCATCGGATAATTCCCACCTCCCTCCTCCGTTTCGGCTTCTTCCGGTGGTGATGGTGGGGCTTCGTCGGCGATACCCAAGAGTGACGTCGTCGATATCAGGGATGACCAGGCTCATTGTCGTCGTCATCAAGCGACGACGACTGCAGGTTCGACGACGTCGCCTGATTCGGCTTCTCTTAACATTCCCAGCCATAATGTTCTTACTGACGAACACGAGGACGGCAACAACGATGATGGCGAGCGAGAAGGTGTGATTCAAACCCAGAATACACAAAATACCAATTTGATTTATAGATATATACATCCCAATTAATACAACCCAATTAAACCCAAAAAATCTACTTAGTTTATTTGTATATTCATTCGTGTACATATATGTGTACATATATGTAGAGAGAGAAGATGGGTGTTCTTCTGTATTGGATTGAGTTGAATTATTAAAAAATTGTCCCTTTTTGTGTGATGGATGGATGAATTGGAGTCAAATCCCTAATTTTTTAAAGTTGCATAGCAGACAGAGGAAAGAAGGGAAGGCCAAATCCCTAATTCTTTAGAACCCTAATTTCAGAAAATCCCAAAAATTTCAATCCATTGACACATGAAAACATAGAAGAAGATGATGACCTCTCATAGATGTTGAGAGAAGGGTTGCAATCGATGAAGGTGGTGACATAGCGTATGCCATTCTCAACGTTGGTGCGAAAGGTGAGGATGAGGGGAATACACGCAAGGCAGTATGAAAATACAAAGCAAGGGGGTTTTTTGTATAAAGGTAAAACTGTCTTTTACCTTTTCTGGTGGCCTGAGTGGGCAAATTGTAACAAATTAAAAGTTCAGGGGGGTTTTTTGTAGTTCAAGGGGTTAGTTGCAAAACCTCCATAGTTCAGGGGAGTTTTTTGCACTTTGCTCTAATATATATATAACAAAATTTAGAGCATGAAAAGTTGAGGGTTAAAACAAAGAGTTGATAATCAATCAATACATACAGACACTATCTCTATCAAGAACCTAGGCCATGCACAAGAATAAACCTCTAAGGTTGCCACTCTGAAACCTTACCGCTAAGTTATGACCATGGCCGTGGTTATCATCTCCAAACTCTCTCCATTGTATGTCTTCGACACTTCACTGGTTGAATCATCAAAGCTAACTTATAATAAAAACAGAACCAAATATACCAATGAAGTTATATATTCACATGAATTCAGCCCATAATTACTGCAATTAGTCCCGGCTGCAATGAAAATAAATACAGTAATCACAATAACTCTTCCTACATGTTAAGTTTCACCGGAACATATTTCTTCCCAAATGCTATTTAAGCATTTTGCAGTCAAAGCAGAAGACAGTTTCCTCCACATGGTACAATGAAATAATCTGATTGCTGGAACACCCCTATTATAAGCTACATGATCCCAGATTTCACTAGGTTAACTGATAAAGAGATCACATGCTGATCCCAATTTTCACTAGATTATTTAATCAAAAGACTCTCACCAAGTTTTGTTCCGGCTTACATGTGATGCTAGAAGAAAATTGGAGAAAAACCGAACTTATAATGTTATTACACATAAAGTAGAACATCAAAACTCATGCTTGTCAAATTGAAATGATATGCACATGGCATTATTTCAGCCTAGTACCAGGATTATGTCAACGAAATGAGATGATTATCTATACATCAAGAGTGTGTCAAACCTCATATTCTGAACTTAAACATGCACCGCCAGGAAACAGTCTCATCGAGTATTTGTAATTTTCTCATACCTAAATAACTCGGGAATTCAGAAACAAGAACAATTCATGACCTCCTCACCTTAACTAAAGTTTTAAGGATTCAAGAAAACGGTGACGCAAGAAAAACAGATGAAAAGGAGAAAGAGACTCAAGGTTTCAAAGAATCAGCAGCATCGCAAGTCTCGGGAGGATAAACAAACACCCATCTCCATATCTGTATTTAATTTTGTAAGAAATTTGTCTCAATTTATTTAGAAGTACCCATTTGGGCAAGCAAGATCACTGAAAAAAAAAAAAAAAGAAGTAAAACTTTTTTCTTGTTAGATTAATGTCCTCCTCTAGGATGCCAGGGAAAATGGAAAAATATAGATCAGGACCAAAATTTACCACCACCTGCTAGGATCAAAGCTGAAGCTGCACGATTATGGTGAAATATCGAGCCGTGGTTCAAAGCAGAAGCCAGTGAAAAGCTGAAGAGGAAACCTCTTGGTCACAGGACATTTCTGTGACCAGCTCCAGTGCTTCAAATTCACATCAAACACAAGAAGAGCTGTTGAACCATAGCTCTGAATGTATATAAGATCGCCAGAACCGCTGCTTGCAAAAACATCATCAAACTCGCCAAATCCTTGAAAAAATTTATGAGGCATGCGGGAAACCTCTTCCCACTCCCTACCTCTTAGAACCCAGATGCCAATTCCCTTAATGATCCCTGGTCGGTCTCGTCTCCCAATACCTCCCACCATTACAAGCTTATCCTTAATGTTCATAAGCCGTCCACAAGTGAGAAAGCAGGGTACTTGGATTAAAGTGTCAATTAGCTTGTCCTCGGAACACTGGTTATAAAGATTATAAGCTAACAGAGCATGGCGATTTTCTGTCCTACCCATTTCTCTTGTGGAGTGGACCAGGATATATAGAATTCCATCACAAATCACGCCGTCTTCTCCTACTCTCCAATCTGCCAAAGTTTCCTTTACAGGAGATGTCCATGTTACTGTTTTCGAAAAATAGACGTGAATTGAGATATCCCAGTAAACAAAATCTTCCGAGGCTCGCTTAGAAGACATGAGAACGACGGTATAACAGTGTGATGACCTGTCAACTGAAAATGCAAGAGCTGCATAGTCAAAGAATTTTTTACCTAAAGGCTCCTCAAGTCTCTTGACGTCTTTAGTGAATGGGTTACAAACGCATAACTCGATCCTGCTGTCACTATTCATGACACAAACCAAACCACACGACGAAGCAACATACCAACTGGGTGCTCTGATGCACGGGAGTTCAAAGCAGTACCATTTCCGTAGCGTGGGGTCATAAGCATATCCAATGGGTTCATCAGAGGAGGTGAACATGAAGTACCAAGGTTTCTGTGATAAGATGCCTGATATGTTCAACATAAACCTTCTAGAGTGCACAATCTCATTCCATTTTTTACAAACACAACTTGATTTAGAAATGCATGCAAAGGGTAGAGATGCCAAAATTTGTTCCAGCAGATCATTTGGGAGGACAGAATCAATGGAGACATGATTGGTTTCTTTATCATCTTCGTAAATCAGCTCCAAGCACGGATGAAATACCCCAGTTCCTTTTCTATTATCATCGAGCTCATCATCAAACCAGGATGTGTCCGCGTCCATAATAAGTTAAAAGAATCCTGGGACACGATGGATACATATAAATAAGATATGTGTGTGTGTGTGTGTGTGCAGAGACAGAAGAGAAGAATGTGTCATTGAATTTCTTGGATTAAAAAGATAAGGAAACATTGGTCATAACTAAATAACAATAACGATTAGACTAAATTCATCATGAATTGTATAACAGAAAGTAATCACACCAAGTTGAGAGAACCCATACCAGACATTATCCGGTTAACCACATAAAAATGATAGATTTCTTTGCATTTGACAGAAACATATTGCAGACATCAATGGTTACATAAGTTTTTTATTAAGAAATTAAACATAAACAAAAAACTACGTAGAAAAAATGTAGAATATTTCTTTTAAAACATTAAAAAAGAATGCACATTTTCAGAACCTTATTTTCAAGACAAATAAATAAATTAAATTTTTGCACTAGACACAAACATAACAATAGAATTCTTTGCATTTGGAAAAAAACATACATACAGATGATACGATTAGTTAAATAAATATTTGATCAAAAAATTTACACAACCAAAAATATTAGCTAAAAACAAAAGAGAATATTTGTTTTCAAACAAAAAAAAAAATGCAGAATTCCAGAACCTTATTTTCAGGATAAGTAAAAAAAAAAAAAAATTAATGTCTTCAAGGTTAACAAAGAAGCTGAAATTGAACATATTACATGTTACATGCGTATGTTTCAGTATGAAGGGAAGGCAATAAAATACATAAATAGCCTATCGTTCCAACAACTTACAAAATAACAAGATTAATTTAAGCAAATAAATGCAAATTAAGACATTCATATACTGAAACATACCAATAAAGGTAATTTCACAGCCTATAACACATAAGAGTTACAACAGTTCAAAAGCAATAATTTATTAAAAAGAGGCACTTTTAGGAATTAAAAATCAAACCTTGCACAGATTCCATGAGCAATTTGCAGGCAGTAGATTACACACAGACCAATTAATGAACGTAAAGAACCAAATCATATTTATCTAAAACCACTGGCGACAGAAGGTAAATTCAAGATTGAAAAATTACATAAATGCATTCACAAATACATATATACAAGAAAAAATAAAAAAAAAGAAAAAAAATCAAAGTTTTAACGACTGTCATAAAAAGAAAGCCAAGAAAGAACATACCAGGCAGGATATTCACTCGACTCCTACTTGTATCCGTATATTTATCAAATACCTCCAATTTAGAGAGAGACCCACCAACTGTATATAAAAAGAAAAAAATAAATAAAGGATGATTTTAGTGAAATAGAGGCGAAAATATATAGATATTAGCAGAGAAGAAGGACACAGTTGAAGCCAGAGAAGGGCATCTTATATTCTTATGCGTCTGATTTATATATAATATATATATAGAAAGAGGAGGAAACGTTCCAATGAATAAAACGACAGGAATTGAATGAAGTGGGAGGCGGTTTCCAGTGTGTGCGGGTTGAGACTTGAAAGTTGTTACAGGCGGCGGGTTTGTATATTTCGATAACAGAGAAACATCACGGTCTAGAGAGAGAGAGAGAGAGAGAGTGTGTGTTGTGTGTGTGAGAGAGAGAGAGAGAGAGAGAGAGAGAGGTGGGGATCTGTGCGTGACAAGCGGTGTTCCGGTTTGGTCAATCTCTTAATTCCACGCGCCTTTCACGGATCCAGACTCGCGCTTCAATCAACTTTTTAGACGTGGTTTCTAATGCGCCATGTGTTTTCCATTGCGCGTGGTTTCTAATTTTTTTGTTACGAGGGATTTTTAAAAAAAATAGATATTATTTTTCCACAAGAAAAAATTGAATATTAATTGGCATCCATTAGATTAGATGCTCCGAAGGGAATAGAGGATAATGGAGAGGTTAAAATGCGCATTATTTACCTTCCCAAAGGAAACCAATCCATGTGATTTCTCTTTCCATTCATGCCAAACAAATTAGATTCAATTTATATTTAACTTATTATTGCTATATTTGGAGGACCCGACAGTCCTGAATTTGAAATTTAAAAGAATTTTAATTAAAATTTAAACTAATTTTTTTTTTTAATTTTAATTTCAAAACAACCATTCAGTAATCTTAAATATAATATTAATAATATTTGAATCCGATTAAAAATAATTATGTTTTAGTGTGATAGATCTTCTATTATTGAATTCATAGCTGATTTGTTGTTTATAAAATATTCCACCCAATAATTCAATTTATAAGGTTATAAATTTATAATATTGTTTAAAAGTTCAGTTTTAAAATTGACACGCAAATAAATATTATGAAAAATAAAAGAAAGAAAAAAGAAAAAAAGGAAGAAGAGAGAGATGATTAATTTACAAAAAATATTTTTGGCATTAGAAATGGTAAAAGCAAGGAATTGTGTGAAGTAGGGACTTTTTTTATTATTTTATTTTATGAGAAAATGAAAGTGTAGTGGAGGGCTTTGTTGGAACGCAAGCAGTAGCTGCCTTTGAGGAAAAAAAGGCCCAAGTTACATTAAGAAAATTTTGTTATTTATTATTATTATTTTGCAAAAACTTTCACAATGCTTTTCAGTTTTCACGAGATTCAAACATTTGACCTTTCCAATTAAAAGCAAAGGAGATACATTTAGACCAAATACATTGTTCTTAAGAAGAGTTCATTTATGGTTCATGGACCTTTAAATTCTTGAACTTTAGATTGTGAAAATATTTGTTCAAATTTTGAGAACACTCATTTTGTACAATAATATCAAAAATAAGTCGTGTATTTAATATTCTACCCACCACGAATTTTGTACCTTGATGGTACTTTATCAGTTTTTCAAATGGAAGGTCGAGAATTTAAATCCCCATAAGGCTGGGCTAATTTTCGTAAGCAATTTTGCTGCCATTCCAATCATGGGCCTGAACATCTTATCCCTTCAATATTTTTCATCACCCCTGTTAATTGGGCTACGGAAAAGATATAGAACTAGGCCAAGGCCCGTTCAAGTACCAAGGATATCCATTTTTCTTTTGTGTTTTTCCATTAGCGGAGTACATCTATCTGATTTCACCACTTTATATGAACTGACCCAAGTTTCTAATTGAAAGGCCCAGAACAATCCCCCCTACAACCAGACCTGGACCTAACAGAATTCAAGCCCATTAAAGTTCAAATTAGTTGTAAAAGTGAGCCCACTCAATGTAGAATATATATTTGGTTGATTGATATATGTAGCCACCATGAGTCAAAGGAATACACTTAACTATGAGAAAACGACTCATGCTTCCTTAGTCCCTAGTAGCTTCTTCAAATTTCATAATATGGTCGGCCATTACTGAAAGAGTTGAACTCCCCTGGATCATCCTTCCTTCCTTTGTAATTTTTTATCCATCCAAAATTGAAGAAGAAGACAGGGAGCAAATGATAACTAATAATTATTAATTAATTTATATTTTTAACTTTTTTTAAAATTTGAAATGAATATCTAATATTTATAATAGTATATAATAAGAGTGTATTACTTCGTAGTAAAAAGAATATAAAAACTCTCCCCCCCCCCTCCCTTCTAACCAAATAAAAAAAAAAGGTTATCCGCTATCCATTCTATTCAATCAAAAAAAAAGTGAGAGAGACACATTTTCTTCCCTGATGCCACATCCATCCCTCCCCTTCTCTCTTACATTTATTTTTCCATACTTCCAACCAAACGAAGCATAAGAGTAGAGTACAAAAAATTCCGGCTATATACGAAATGTGTTTTGATGATTGAAAGGTATTAAATGCCTTTTAAGTCAACAAAATTTTTAAAAATAAAACATTGATTTCAAAATTTTGGAGTTTTGAGATTTTAATAAAAATTTTACTTATTCAACAAAAGATGATAAATAAAAATTAAAATGCTAAATCAAGACTAATAATATATATTATTCACCAAAAGATGAAAAACTTTTCATTATAGTCCCATTACCAAGGAATAGCATACGGGTCATTTTATAAGCATTCAGGTTGGATTTCGTGCTTTCGCTCAGTGACTTAGGAAGAGACCTTTTTATTACTTGTTAAGTTATACTTCTAATGATCTGCTTAGTGCTTACCTACTAAAAATATAAAAAATAAAAATAAAAAAACCAAACAAACAAACATCTAGTTATGATCATCTCAGTGGAGCTTTCGTTAAAATAGAGTCCTAGGGTGTAGGTACTGAATGGCGGATACATACTATATAATATATATACTATATAAAGCGTAGTTATGTCAAGTGCGTTGATGACGAAAATAAAAAATAAAAAATTACACCATGCTTTAAACAACTCCTCAGGTTAGAAAGTTAACGAATCTTTCCAAATGATGGTTATGTTACATTCGGAATCAATAAAATCGTTAGATTATGGTTCAATTCTCGTATAAGCAAATAGGTGAAAGAATTTTTTTCTTTTTTTTTAGTCAACAATGGACATAATGAGGAATCTCCTGCAATGCTTCCTCACGGTCCAGTTAAAGGGGAGAGATTATTCAACTGCTATCTTTGGTGCATGAGAATGACCCTCCATTGGTGCAACTTTGAAAAAGTTTTGGAGTTGGATAAATGTGGTAATATGTCACAATTGCAGAGATGGGGTAATATATACTGATTAATGGTTTTTATTTTTCATAGTGGGACATTAAAAAAAATAATTTATGATGTTCCCATAGTTTGTTCTTACTTAAAATTCGAACTAGTGTACATCTTGTGGTGCTTTTTGTTTATTCATTTGATTTTTGCATGATTAAAGTTGAGATAATTTTGTTTAATTTTTTTTTTGTTAGTCATATACATATTTTTATTGGACTTGAACTACAAAATATTCTTTAAAAAGTGAAAACCTGATACCTCTAAACCTACATATTAATAATTTTTCATTTCTCATTTTCTATCACTGTCACCTACACATGTTCATCACTTTGTCCCAGTAATGGGCACATATGGCTGTGAATGTCCTAATTTCTTACTCAAGAACATTCTTAAATTGTCAAAATAAAATAAAATAATAATAATAATAATAATGTAACACGCAAAGACCAAAATTCCCTCGATTTATTTTTTTTCTTCAAAATACTAATATGGTTCATCTAAGGAGTTAAGGGACTGAAGACATCATTATATGCTATTTGAATTTTGGGCAACCACTAATGCGTACATTCTAGATATTTTGAGCAAGTACTAATGCGTACATGCTATTTAGCTCTTTTTTTACTCTCTCTAGTCACGTGTCTCTTTATGCTAGGAGGTCTTCCTCCACTAGCAGATTCTTTTTTTTTTCGAAAAACTCTATTCACTATCATTTTGACTTATTTTCATGTATGATGTATCTAGTGGTGAGGACCATTATATGCATTTTGACAGAGTAATGGGTACATATCACTTTCAAAACAAAAACAAAAACAAAAACGAGTAGTGGCATGGTAGTGGGGGTACATGTAACAATGGATGCCCTTAGACTCCTTAAGAAAAATACAGAATAGTTTAAGTAACAGTTGAATTTGCTTGTTCCGTTTTTTCATACATGAATAACAGTTTCGCAAAGTTCTTTTTGCGGTTAGGTCATTTATTTATTTGGATGTGACAATTTAAATATTTTCAAATAGAACGTTTGGCATTATATTAGATCAAGAACTAAATCTAATTATAATTCTAATACTCATTTTATTTTTCACTCGTGTGACACCTCTAACAGCTAGCCTGTAACAGAGAACAAAAGGAGAATGTGAACCGTTTAGAAGGTCAGTCCACTAGATGAAACATTTTTACCCATTTGTTTAACCTCAACATGACAAGAATAAAAACAAAATGTTGGTATCTACCATTCAAAATTATTCTGTTTATTTATTTATTTTATGTCATATTATACCTACGAGAGGGCCCTTGGCCCAATTTTAAGTTATTTTAATATTATTATTTACTCGTAATATAAGATAAATTGATATAATATAGTATAGCATGACATAAAAAAGAGTTGAAAAGGAAGTGCATTTGGGAAGCAGATTTTCTGAAAATATGTGGGGGTAGCCGAGTAGTTTGTTTGAGACTGGTTCTCGTGTCATACCCTATGTTTGGCGTTGGGACACAATTCATGTGACATATAAGAAATAAATTTTATGATGGTTCTACAAATTTCCATTAATTTTTTTAGTACACTACAAAAATTGATTGGTTTTTGTAGCGTTTGCAATAGTTAGAGAGTCCAAAAAGAGCTAAACTCGTTCATGGCATGAAGATGATAATCTATTTGTCAAAGTAAGGCATTTAAAACAATTTAAATATGATTCAGGTTTTAATTATTTTACTTTTGATCAAATTTGGTAAGTATTTACTCCTTTGTCAAAGTAAAATGTGATGGATGAAGTTCTATATAGATAAAAGGTAAAAGAGTAAAAAATTTCCTCAAATTATATCATTGTTGCATGATGCTCTTTTGAACTATTTTTTGGAGTAAGTTGCCCTCTTAAATTATCAAAAATAAGCAAAATGCCCCCTTGAACTATCAAAAGTAAGCAAAATGCCCCCTTAAAGGCCATCGTAAGCTAGTTTCCAACCAACTGAAAGCATAATTACTAATTTATCCTTACTTTTTAATTTATTATAAAAAAT